GGGGGGAGGAAACAAAATGATTTGGCAAGCCTAGGCTCACGTTCCCACTGGCAGCAGTGAGCTGGACTTGCCCCCTGGGCTTCAGCTGGCCGCGGTCACCCCCTGGCAGCCCTCCTCATGCTCCAGGCCCCATGATCCAGGGCACCCCATCTGTGCAGGTGTTTTAGCAGGGGCGAAGGAGATGACAGAGATTTCTGTGTGGAGTGTGGTATTCCCCAGCTATCCCTAAGTCTCCTTTAATGTGTTATTTTTGAGAGAGAGAGCGCGCGCGCACAAGCAGGGGAGGGGCAGAGAGGGAGGGAGACACAGAATCCGAAGCAGGCTCCAGGCTCTGAGCTGTCAGCACAGAGCCCAATGCAGGGCTTGAACCCACGAACCGTGAGATCATGACCTGAGCGGAAGTGGGACGCTTAACTGACTGAGCCACCCAGGCACCGCTCTAAGGTTCCTTTTAATTGTGATTCTAAGACTCCTTCTCAGGGAGATTCTTGCTTCTTGCTGTACTAGACCAACCTATGCAATTCAATGGACACTGGTTTTCTTTCTTTAAAGTGATTTGTCCCCAGTTTACCCCAGGAAGCAGGGACACTACCATTTGGAACCTTAGAGATCAAGGACTTTGTCCTCGAAGATAAGAGTTCCTGAGGCCTCCATCTTCTGAATGCATTGCCTCAATCAGCACAAATGAGGAAACAAATTGAAGTAACAATAAAGATAACTTTTCTAAGGGCTTTACATCAATTAACTCTGTTATCTAGGGACATAAACCAGTTTAAAACTTTAACACCGTCTGCAGTGTGAGCCATGCTACCTACAAAGATAGATAGCATTTATCCCCATTCTGCAGAGGAGGCAACAGGCTGAGAAGGAGGTTAGGGACTTCCCCAAGGCCACACAAGGGGAAGCCAGAACGCTGCCTTCCAGACCTGTTGCGGTTCTGATACACCACACTCCTCCACAGCAGGCCCGGGGGAGGCTTTTGGGCTTTCTTGGTGAAAATCTGCCAACAGGTCAAACAAGGAATGCAGAAGCCCACACCTGTAAGATATCCTACTAAAAAATGGATAAGTTCAAAATCCTTAGCTTCTAGTGTCTGTTAGATGTTTTCTGACATGGATGTAAAACCTGGAGAAGATACTCTTTTAATGAGCCCCTGCAATCTTGTTCCAGCTAAAGACCCCTCTCCCCTATAAATAATTTCACATTCTAATTGTTTGCAAGTAAGAGGTGCTTATAGTTGTGTTAATTATTAAAATGTTAGCTCTAAAAAGTTTTTTTAATTTAATTTATTTTTTAAGTTTGCATCCAAGTTAGT